TTTTCAAGATCAGGGATTTTGCTGTGCCACCTTTTTTTCCCCTCCCATGTTTCTCCAAGAAAGAAAACAATGAATGAGTGGAAAAAGGCAAAAGGAAGATAAGCAATATATGTTATTAAAATGAAAAGTGTCAGAAATGGTGCCAGTAAACTAATTTGAAACTTAAAGACTTTTACTTAGAAGTTTAATAAATTCATATTGTTTTGTCATTTGAAACAAATTACCCATGCATTCCTAAACATGGTCTGCCCTTCTTAGCAGCAGAAACTCCAGCTGTGTACCAGTAGACACAACTCAGCGACTTCTCATTCCCTACTGCTCAGGTCCTCAATGCTGACAGCCCACCTTGGGCCTGCTTGGCTTCCAGTGGCAAAGTGCTGCCCAGGGTGGGCAGAGGCCCAGAGTCACCCTTGAGCTTGTCACTCATCTCAGCAATGAGCCAGGCATCATCTGGAGCAGCAAGTCTAGCACTGAAGTTGATCTCCCTGGGGGGTGTGGTGTGGAGGCTTGCAGAATTCAAGCTCAGACTGTCTGCTATCTTGGTTGGGTCTACTGATGTTTTCTTATCTTTATGAGAAAAGGAAATAGGCCAGCCTTGTAGTAAAGGCCTTTGGATTAAACTCTCAGAAGGAAACTGGCCTCACCTAATAAACTCAGCAGAACATAAAAGGACATGGAAAGGAACAGTAAAACTAATGTGCTAATCAGTTCAATCAATGCCCAAAGCAGACCTCAAATCAAATCAAAGACAGGAAAGGATGCCTTGTTTGGGAGCCTTGAAAAATACACAATGATGAGAAAGCGTTTCTTTGACTTTGAGTCACTGGAAGGAAAATATGAGTGGATTCTGAAGAGCCCTGATTGGTCCAAACACCTCCAGGGGCAGTTTGCAAATAGGGGTTATCATTTTCCTTTCCATCTTCTTCCCAAGTGGATGAATCCTCTCCTGTGTCAAGGGGCTGCTTACTTTGCCTTCATTTCCACTAGCTCCAAGATCAGCGCAGAGCTTAACTCAGATGTCTTAACACTTCTCCCTTTCCAGGCCTCTGGTTCAGTGTGTCTGTTTCTGATACAGCTTCCTGTTAAGGTACCTAGGAGGTGAAATGGGGTAACCCAAGCTCTTGGGCCCCTGACACCTCCATGGGAGATCCAGATGAAGTTTCTGGATTCTGGTTTAGAATGGGCCTAATGCTGACTATTGTGGGCATGTAGGGAGTGAACTAGTGGTCCAGTAAGGTCACAAGCAGGGAGCTAGATGGGATGTGGAGCAGCTGGATCACACAGGCGCCCATATGGGATCCCAGCACGTGTAAGGAGAGGATTTTAACACTAGGCCATCATGCTGGGCCCTGTTTCTATTATTGTGAGCCCCAGATGATCCCAAATTTGAACATGGGGAAAACCCTTCCACCTCTTTATGTCATTCTTCATTTCAAACAAACAAACACACAAACCGCTGTTTTTCAAAGACAGATGAGCACATGAACTGATGGTTTCAGTATAACCGGCTGCCCTTCGCCCGCAGGTAGGCATAAGCCACTCCACCCCACTCCATTCCATTGATGGTTTCAATAGAGGGGAAAATCATCTTTTTTCCAACTCTCTGAATTGTATCATTGTCCTTCTTTTTCCTTAGACTGAGATTGATATTCATGGTTCTCAGGTTTTCCCAACATCAGTCACCTGGATCTCCCAAGTGCAGAGGCCCATCTGGGACCTCTCAGCCACTGTTCCTGTGTGAACCGTTTCCTGACAGTGCTAACGAAATGGTCTCTCCCTCTCTGCTATCTATCTTACATCAGCTCTTTCACGCTCAGTCTCCCTATCCCTCTCTCCACTTCATTGGTTCTGTTTCCTTTTGCTAATACAATATCCCTGCAAATGAAATTGCCCCCCAGGATGTGAAAATCAATTTTAGTTTAATGAGAAAGGGTGGGCCCAGGTCTAACTTTTCGCCAGCTTGCACTGATCCCTAACATCTCTCTAAGTAAGGAGAGAGGGATAGAAGCCCATGGAAGAAGCTCCAGGAAGATGGTGGCCTTGCCATGGTGTCATGGCTCCTCCCGCCCACCTCCAGCTTGACTCTCACACAGGCCGTGACGTGCACTGTGGAATCTGAGAGGGCTTTGAGAAAACCTCTTCCTGGCAGCTTTGCTACCCTGCAGAAGCCATTCATTCTGGCAATCAGACAAATCCACAGAACATGAGTCATCCTACGGGTGATTCAGTAAGTCAGTGCCATGGAAACATAGGAAAACAAAGGAGAACATTTTTCTGGAATAAAAATAAGATAGGCTTACAAAGAATACTCCTGCAATCCTATATCTGCTCTCTTACTTATTTGCATAAACTGGCCCTAAAGGACTTTTGGAAAGCTTGGATATAAAGTTTATATTAGATACTGTCAGGGAATGAAGTTAATTCTGTCAGATGTAATAATTTCATTATCTGTGTAGAGGATTTTTAGGGCCTGGCACAACAGCTCAATTGGCCAATTTTCCACCTCCAAGTGCCGGGATCCCATATGACTACCATTGTGTCCCAGCTGCTCCACTTCCCATCCAGCTCCCTGTTTGTGGCCTGGGAAAGCAGTCGAGGATGGCCCAAAACCTTGGGACCCTGCACCTGCGTGGGAGACCTGGAAGAAGCTCCTGCTTCCTGGCCTCGGATTAGCTCAGATCTGACTGTTGCAGTCATTTGGGGAGGTGAATCAGCAGATGGAAGATCTTTGTTTCTCCTCTCTATAAATCTTTCCAATAGAAATCAGTAAATCTTATTTTAAAAAAGACTTTTTTTGTTGGTGGTGGTGGTGATGCCTAACAAATTATTTAAAGAAAAAAAAAATGTTACATGTTCCTAGGATTGCTCTAACAAATCCACAAACTTGATGACTTAAAACAAGTAAAATTCATTCTTTCACAGTTTTAGAAATCAGATGGCAGCATTCAAGGCATGGGCAGGCCCATGCTCCACTGACAGCTCCAGAGGAGGATCTTGGCTGCTTTCAGCTTCTGTCAGCTCTCAGCCTCACTGGGTTTGTACCCACTAACATCTCCTCCTAAGCTTCCCATCTTCACCTGGCCTTCTCCTCCCCCACGTACCAAAATCCCCTATACAGGTCCAGTGCAATGGCTCATTGGCTAAATCCTTGCCTTGCAAGTGCCAGGATCCCATATGGGTTCATGTCCCAGCTACTTCATTTCCCATCAAACTCCTTGCTTGTGGCCTGGGAAAGCAGTAGAGGATGGCCCAAAGCCTTGGGACCCTGCACCCGTGTGGGAGACCCAAAGGAGGCTCCTGGGTTGTTGTCTACGGCATAGCACCCTGAATGCACCTGATCTAGGAGGCTCCTGGTTTCTGGCTTTGGATCAGTTCATCTCCAGCCATTGTGGACATTTTTGAGTGAATCAGTGGATGGAAGATTTTTCTATCCTTCCTTCTCTCTGTAAATTTGCCTTTCCAACAAAATATATAAATCTTTTTTAAAATCCCCCCCTTTTTTTCCCCTACTAGAACACCAGTCAATCGACACAGGGCCCACTGGGATAACCCAGTGTGCTCTGCCAACCTGGCTGGTTCATGCAAGCAGCAGAACACTCAAACCGAGGGCAGTGATTGGACAGCAGGAGCCCCAGTGCTCAAGGCCTTGAACTCAGAGTGAACTGGGCTCTACATAAGCTTTTGCCAAGAGCACAGCATTTTGAGATTAAACAGAAAACAGACTCATAACACATCATCTAATGGCATAAAAATACAGCTAAATAAAGGCAAGCTATCAGAAGAAAAACCAGACTTTCTAGCAATGAGAAGAATCCCCAAGCAAGATAATTTCCATAATGAAGGTTCCAAGTACATAAACATACTGAAGAGCACCCAGATACATTGCTTGTATTGACTTCAGGATAGGAATGAAGAAAACTGAGAAAGCTTGGGACACCCTGAGAGCTGAATGGAGACGTTCTGCAAGTTTTCACCAGAGCCTTGGGAAACGGGTCAATCTCTGTGTGAGAGGGTGAAGAACACACTGAGGCAATTGGAAAGGAGCCGTGAGTAATTACTGACATTGCAAAGCCTTCTTCTGCATGTAAATACACCCTGGTGACTTCACTGACTTCACGGTGTCCTGATGGAAGTGACGCGGTCATGCCCTGTCCCCACCACCCCATCAGATTAGTTTCCTCTGCGGCACTCACTAGCCAAGGACAGTGGTTAACAAGAGTTTATTGTTCCCAAGTCAGACATGAGTGAAGCTTTGAATCCCTTCTTGCTTGCATCCTTTTTCTCACCCAGGACCCACCTGCCTTGGTGCTGAGCAAACAATTGCACATCCTCTGCTGGCTTAGGGCCAGAGATCCAAGTGCTCCTTGTCTTTGTCACACAGGTACCGTGGACTCCAACATGAGCTGTAACCCACAGAGGTAGCATGTCTCCAAAGCTCACAGCTATCAGGGAAAAGGCCGACGGGTGGTGGTTCAACCCAGGCCTGCTTCCGAAGCCTCCAAGCTGTGGTCTTTTTTCGCTAACCACATTTGTTCACATTTTTCTCTAATTGGACTCCGACAAGAGCACTGAACTGGAGGCTCAGAGAAGACCCAAGGCTGTTTGTGCTTCCCATGGTTACTAGTGACTGGAAACTTCCATCATCACTCCCCTAATTTCTCCCCGACCCCCAAGCCGCCTTACACTGCGGAGATCCTGGCTTACAAGTGCCACTTGCCTATTCTTCAGTTAACTGACAAGCAGATATTCCTTAGAGAAAGTAAGGGCAGCCTGGTGGGTTCTCCCTCATTTCCAACTGTGCTGTGGAAATAGTGGTGGTAACTATGTGTTGGTCACCTGCCCTGAGGACTTCTCCCACAGAATTCCTCAGGAAGATACTCATTCTGCTTTACTGAGGGCACTGCTCGCAACCATCCAATCTCCACACTTTCCCTCCGCCCAGCCCTGTCACTTTTAGAGTTTCATCAGTAGCCCCGAGTTGTTAAGTCCTTCTGACTTACCGCAGGTGCCTTGCGCTTCACCAGAGAGGCTCACTTAGTGTCATGAGTCCTTCCATCCTCGCATTTCACACCTTTCGGAAAGGAGGCATGTGCTGCAGTGCCAGTAGTCCTGCAGTAAGTCGACTTAATTTCGTATTGAACATATCAACACCTGTGGGATACAACAAAGTCAATATTAAGAGGGAAGTGGATAGCATTAAATTCTTAGACTCTAAAGAGACAGGTGGAGGTTTCAAAGACCTAATTATGCATCTAAAGACATAGGAAAATAAGAACAGACTAAATCCCAAATTAGCAAATGAGAAGCAATTAAAAAATCAATGTTGTTGAAATTAAAAGACAATGCAAAAGACCAACAAAACAAAAAGTTGATTTTTAAAAGATAATGCAACAGATAGGGCTTTAGCCAGACTAATACAGATAAAAAATTTAAAACTCAAATAAATAAAATTGGAGATGAAAATACTTTATAAGAAACTACAAATAAAAGTATGCTAATAATCTGAAAAACCTCCAGGAAATGGTAACTTCCTGGATACATATAACCTAACAAGATTAAGTCAAGAAAATGCAGAAAACCAACAGACCCATAACAAGTAACGTGAGTGAAGCAGCAATCAACACTTCCATCAAGGAAAAATCTGGAACTTGATGGTTTTATCATTGAATTCAAAAAACATTCAAAGAGGAAGTAACTCTAACACGTTCCAAACTATTCTGAAATACCGAACAGGATAGAATACTGCCAAACTCCTCTCACGAGACCATGTATTGTCCCATTACCCTGTCACCCATTCTGTTCCATCTACACTGGCCTTCTGTTTCTTGACCTTGGCCTTGGGCACAACTTTTTTTGGAATAGGATGTGGCATACCACCTAATGCCAATAATGCCGGTTTTTCCCAGGGATGTAGAACCCAGGGTGGCATACTTAGAGGGCCTCTAGGCTACAATGCAACAAGCAATACGTACAAAAAAAAAAAAAAACTCTATCCACCAAGTGTAACTTTCTTGAAAGTTAGGCAAGGGTTTGCTATGAACCCCACCTATTGTCTCTGACCTCATATTTCTGAGTAATGGTTACTTGATTAACTTGTTGTGTGGGTATTCTGCTCAGTGAACTTGGGCAAGTGATAGCGTAACTGGTACGTGGTGAACCGGCTTGCTAGTCAGACTTCATTTTTGGTCAGATGTCAACAGGTGTTACAGACATACTAATCTTAATTTTTTAATTTTAAAACAAGTACATTTATAAGTATGGGAAATATGGTTAGACCAAAAGAAAAAAAAATGTAATTACCCATGATCCCACTATCAAAAGATAACTATTTTTAAGTCTTCTCCATAAATATTCTTTCTGCTTTTCTTAATTCATTTGTATTATTTATCTGTTTATTTAAAAGGCAAAGAGAATGAGAATGCTTAGCTCCCCAAATGGGTGCAATGGCCTGGACAAGGACGAGCTGAAGGAAGGAGTCTAGAACTCTCTCCAGGTCTCCCACAAGGGTGGTAGAGCGCAGGGACTTGGGCCATCTTCCACTGTCTTCCCAGATACACTAGCAGGGAGCTGGATAAGAAGTGGATCAGCTGGGGCTCGAACTAGTATCCTTAAGGGATGCCTGTGTTGCTAGCAGGGGTTAATCTGCTACACCACAAAGCCAGACCCTGTTTTCTTAATTTAATCTGCATACTTTTTATCATACAGGCGTGAGACTATCAGAGAATTAAATCTGTTAAAGAACAGGCAGCAGGATCTAGACATTCATTTAACAATCAATAAATTAATGTTTAGGTACTTACTAGTTCTTAGGCTCTCCGATCATATTAGTTGTGGGGGAAATAGACATTAAAAATGTGTGGGGTTTTGCTCATACAGAGCTCAAAGTCTGGCAGGGAAGGAGAGACATGGAAATAAATTCCTATCATATGTCTGAATTCAGAGGAAGGCACAGATGGCGCGAGGCACAGGACAGAGGACACGGTCCTGAGGCTCAGGCGGAGCAGGCTGAGAAGCAGCCCGCAGGAGGCAGAAATGCAGCTTGTGCCTTTAAGCATGATTAAGCCCTTCTTAGGCAGACACGTTGGGTGCTGGGTGGGATAGAAAGTAAATACAAGAAATAAGGATAGTTTGTTCAAAGCTGAAAGTGGCTAGCATAAACTCAAGAAGCTGCCCAAGCTGTAAGGACAAACTCGAGAGGTTAAGTTGTATGCTACACACAGAAATTTGGTTGTTGGCCGTTAATGCCACAGGGAGCCACTGAATGAAGGCAGGAGAGGGTGCAGAAGTGCACTGTTCATGGTCCAGTCCAAATGAATGGATTTGAAGCAGGTAAGAATGAGACACTAATGTGGGAACTTTTCCAATAGTTCAAGCACAACTTGTTGACTATCTGAACTCAGACAATGAAGGTGGCATCTATCTTCCTAATCTTGTAGAGTGTTACAGGTGGCCTGATGCTAGTCCTACCTTCCATAGGAAGAATACAGCCATTGTGAAACTTTTAGTCATGTATGGTTTCTTCCACACATTGGAACAGTTTACTCATTCATTCTCTCTTGCCTGTAGCATTCTTCTCTATTACATATCCGAGAATGCCCGTGGCTTTCCCTCAATACCCTTCTCCATGGTCCAGACCACGGGTCAATAGTAGCCTGAGTGCCAACTCCAGCCTGCAGCCTCTTTCTGCAAGTACGCTTTTACTAGAACATACTCACTCCAGGCTGGTCATTTCCCCATGTGTCTACGTCTGCTTTTCATTACAATGCAGAGATCCCATATGGCACAGAAAGCCTAGGATATTTACTCTCTAGTTATTGACACAGAAAGTTTGCTGATCCCTCACCTAATCTAAATTTATCCACATCCCACTCACCCCTAAAGCTCGGTGTTCTCTTTCCACTGCAGTGGTAATGGTTGTTGTCTGGGCTACCTATTACTTTAGTTTGCTTATTATATATTGCCGGGAGTTCTTTTTCTCTGCCTATACAAGTTTTCATGCCAATTACAAATGTAAGCTTTCTGGCAAATCAGATTGGGAGCAAACAGGATGCTTCTTGGTACTCGGGCCATCCCTGCTCCCTGCTCCCTACCACCATCCTCTCCCAGGTGATGGGCAATGCTCTTTTCAGATGTTTATTTATCCTATTAGTTTTTAAAGGTTTATTTATTTTTATAAATTAAAACTGGTTCTAAATAAAGATTAGAACCAGTGCACTTATGGGATCTCCATGCATGCAAGGTGAGGGCTTTTGCTAGGCTACAGCACCGGGCCTCTCCTTTGAGATATTTATACACTTGTGGGACATGCTCAGGAGATGGCTGTGTGGAATTAAAGATTATTGGAGCCACCATTTCAAAATGTCCAGGATTCTCTCTTCTCTTGCTGACAGCTCCTAAGATGCTGTCATCTCTGAATGATCCTAGGGCTCACTAGCATCATCCCTTTTCAAAAATGATTTGCCAACATTGACTCACCAGGCTTCATTACCAGGGAAACAGCAATTAGCTTCTTCAAACTATAGCAGGGATTAAGAGTAGGTACATAAGGGCCCAGCACGATAGCGTGATGGCTAAAGTCCTCGCCTTGCACACCCGGGATCCCAACTGGACACTGGTTCTAATCCCAGCTGCCCTGTTTCCCATCCAGATCCTTGCTTGTGGCCTGGGGAGGCAGTCAAGGATGGCCCAAAGCCTTGGACCCTGCACCTGCATGGGAGATCCAGAAGCTCCTGGCTCCTGGCTTCAGATTGGTTCAGCTCCAGCTGTTACGGCTGCTTTTTCTTCCATCAGATGGAAGATCTTCCTCTCTGTCTATCTGCCTTTCCAATAAAAATAAATCACTCTTTATTAAAAAAAAAATAGTAGCTACATAAGCCTTTGGAAAAGCTGGGAAAAATGTGCAATGCTCTAAGCATGTTAATGGTGTGAATGCTGAGAATACTCACCCAGTCAAGTCTACTTATAGACTGGCTGGTGACGTCCACTGGATGCTCTATTTCCAAGACGGCATGACATGGCGGCACAGCATCCAGGCTCTGGAGTCGAACCCCATTTCAGAGTAATAATGATGGTGCCGTGGGATAACGTCAGGTTCTTAGAACAGGTATTAGAACTCCACAAACAATCCACAGGTATTACTTATTAGTAGTCCTGTCTTTATGAGACAAGTATTTTCTTCCCTTCAAAGAACAGCCAGAGAATATGTAATAATGTATGGGTTCTCTCAGGGATAGGTTTGATGGGTTGCTTAAAATGACATTAGTGATCTAGTGCCCTAAATTCTTATTGGCATTGGTGAGATAATGACACTTTTCTTTTGGATGGTGCACTAGAAAATAAGAAATGAGAGCTCTTACTTTGAAACCGGCTGACTACAAAAGCCTCTCACAGGGACTCTAATTCCTATTCTATTTTAAATAATGAAAAAATTAAAGACAAGGGAAAGTAACCTTCAGTAACTGGCATTACATCCCATGAACACACGTTGTAATTGGGTTTCTTTTCTTTGGGATAAAATAACAAGCCTTAGGTTAATACAGTCAAAGGCAACCTAGAATGTGCAATCCGAGCAGGAACAGAATCGTCATGTTTGATCAGGAGAGCAGGAAGCACACGTTCTACCTCTCCACTCCCAAAATAGAAAACCTATTTAGCACTTTGTAAAACACGCTAAATGAAGTTGGCTCTCTCCTGCAGATTGAGATTTTACTTCATTTTGTGCCAGTGAAATTTTTGAAAATTGCACAAGGAGAGAGCAATTTTTGGCACTTTGGCTAGGAGTACAAAATGTTAGCAAATGGTGCTGAAAGGATCTTAAGTGTGATGTTGGAATAATATTCACACAACACTGGCTGCATCTTCATTTTTAACCTATTTACATATTCACAGGCAAAAAATGCTTAGCGGTTATTTGTCTAAAGGGGCCTATTTAAGGGGAAAATGGCATTCACAGTTTTTGAATGCATTAGTCAAGAGGGTTGCTGTGAATAACAATTCATAAAGAAAAATATCATTTCAACTATCATAGAAGAAGTGGAATGAGATAGGTGGGGAGAATTACGGACATTGGTGTTATCTCTGGACACAAAAAGAGATGAAAAGAGGGGGAGTGAGACACATATCCTGGAAATTTCCACAATGACAGAGCACTG